AAGAACAAACACCAAATTTGTGGTGAAGCTTGGGTGGAATGGTGAAATCACTGATACTTTATAAAAAGTTTAAGGGGACAATGTCCCAAAGAAATAAGCAGTTTACAAGTGGATAACTTACTTTAAGAAGGAACAAGACGATGTTAAAAATTACACCTGCAATGGTAGACCATCCACATTAATTTGCAAGGAAAAAAGTAAGCTCGTTCATGCACTAATTGAAGAGGGCTAATTATTTACAGGAGAAACAATAGCTAAACCATAGACATCGCAATTGGTTCAGTGTATGCAACTCTGACCGAAAAATTAGAGTTGAGCAATCTTTCCATTCAATGGGTGCCAGAACTATTATACCCAGATCAGCTGCAGACAAGAGCAGAGCTTTCAGTGGAAATTATAAATAAGTAGAATCAAGATCCTGAAGCACTTCTTTGAAGAATTGAAACAGAAGATAAACCACAGCTTTACCAGTACAATCCTGAAGACAAAGCACAATCAAAGCAATGGCTACCAAGACATGGAAATGGTCCAGTCAAAGAAAAAGTGAACTGGTCAACAGCCAAGGTCATGGCGACAGTTTTTTGGGATGCTCACACACAAAAAGATGCCATAGGCTGCATCAGTTCTCTTTAGGCAAATTAGAGAAATAACCCAAAATGTTGGCAGGGGAAGGGTGCAGGAGAGACCTACAGCAAATACCAGTGGCAAAATTAGCTTTGAATACATGAAAAAAATGCTCTCCTCTTCCTTTACCCGGCCACCCCCAACATCTACAATATACACCAATCTACTAAAATTCAAGATGTTCTGTCAAATGTTTAGTTTTTTTTTTTTTTTTCAGCAGCAGTCGTTCAGAGCACATGATATTTTATTTTTCTGCATTATGTCATTTCAGGTTTATTTGTCATCACTGAAAAAAAAAACAAAAAAACAAAAAAACAAAAAACATTGATTATGTAACTGCCTGATGGGTTTCTCTTGCAGGCTACCCAGGTAGACCTGGTTTATCAAGACAGGGGAATTGCAATAGAAGGTTTAATACATACAGAGCCAGCTAAATGGGAGACTGGAGTTTTATTATTACTCAACTAAGCTGTCCCAAAAATTCAGATAGTGAAATTTTTATAAAATAGTTTGGCAGGCAGGGGGCTGGGGAATGGGGAGTGCTGATAGGTTGGGTTGGGGATGAAATCATAGGTAGTCGAAGCTCTCCTCTTGCATGAGCCGCTTCTTGTGGGGGGAGCCACAAGACCAGATGAACCAGTTTACTGGCCTGGGTAGCTCCAGTGGATCCATCAGAATGCAGAATGTTTTGGTCTATTATAAAATACCAACCTTAGGTTTTATAATAGTAATGTTATCTATAGGAGCAAATAGGGATGTTAGTAGTCTTGTGGCCTCTGGCTGCATTACACTTGAGCCATGGTGGGGCTGTTTCAGGGAGGGGCTGTTAGCATCCATGTTTTAAAGTTAAACTATAAACTAAATTCCTCCCAAAGTTAGTTCAGCCTACCCCCAGGAACGAACAAGGGCAGCCTGGAGATTAAAGGCAAGATGGAGTTGGTTAGGTCAGGTCTCTTTCATTGTCTTAATCTTCTCACTGTTACAATTTTTGCAAAGGTGGTTTCAATTCAAAGGCAAAATTTGGTTTGTTGACTTAAAACCTTTACAGTTCTAATTTGCCAGTTACAGATAGAATGATTCCACTTTTTCAATACTTGACTTTTGTAAGTACTCACAGCTAGTATACAAATTGTAGATCATTTGAAATAGTCAGAGTATTAGGAATTTCTGCTTCCGGCCATGATGGAGTAAAGAAACTGGATTTACCCTTTCATCTTCACTACAAAGCTGGGAAAAATAGACAAAACAATGGTTTTGAGACATTGAGCAAAAGGCAGTGAAGAACTGCAATTCTAACAATTTGGTAATAAAGGAGGTGAGCCCTTTGATAGCCCTCATTTCGGGCCTGAAGAGTTTACAGGCTGCAGCACCGGGAGAAGGAACTCAGACAGAACCTGGAGGTCTCACTGAGCTAGGGGACAAACATCAAGAAATCTAGGATTCTTGGGGCCGAGTGTCAGAGAGAAGAGAACTATACTAAGGGAAACTCCAGATATTTGCAGAAGGGTCTCCTCAAGTCTTCAAATGAAGATATAGCAGCACTTGCACTAGAGGAAACTAGTGGGAAAGAACCACCAGAGACAAGCAGGCAGAACAATCCCCAGAGCTTGCACAGAGCCAAAAGCAATTTGTGTATCCCCAGTGGAAATAATTTCTAAACACATAGAGCATCAAGCAGAATCTTCGATAGGGTGCTGCTTTAATAGTGGGACCAGATTATAACTAAACTTAAAGACTATTGTGGGCCCATTTAGCAAAGCTTACACAAAAGGCTTGCAAAGGCCACATTTTCCCCAAGGGGAATGTATCCCAGAACAAAATATTTAAAAGAATACAAAAGCCTTCAGCCCCCAATAAAGTAACACTCACAATGTCAGATGTAAAATAAAAAGGTTACCAGTGTGAAAGATGCAGGAAAATGTGACTCACTTCCGGAAGAAAAATGTACCAAAAAAAAAAAAAGCATTAGGAAGATCAAACAATAACCCATAACCTTACCAACTAGAAATGGTTTTCAGTTAAGAATTAGAGTATTACCTTTTAGACTTTAATATGTATTTTTTAATTACTGATATTAAATGAACTATGAATGATCAAACCATTGGTACAACTTGGTGTCCTAGAGATTTTTTTCCTCTTTATGTATCTTAAGCACTTTCTTATGTGTATTTCGCTTTTCTGCTTGTAAGAACCAACACTCACTTGGCTTACCTTATGTAATGGGAAGTATATTAGAAGTATGAAAAGGAAATATGATTCTCAGCTAAATGAACCAAGGGAGGAAGAAAGACAAATAATTGGACCTCACAGGGAGTGAAGGACCAAGAGTGCAGCCAGGCTCTGAAGGCAAGTTCGCTGGGGCCCCAGGGCCTCTCCTGCGCCTCAGCAGAAGCTGTTAGTGAGTAAGTGTTCCCTCTGATGCCCTGCCTTTGGGAGACCTACCCCTCATTATCTCAGTCTTCTTCTCTTTGTACATCTTCTGGCTTTTTCTGTTGTACAGAATGGCTTCTGTCCTGGATCACTCAAATCTGTCCTACATGCTGATTAGTGTTGCCTATTCTAGAATTTCATATAAATGGAATCATATACCATGTACTTCTTTCACTGAGCATCATGTTTTTGAAATTAATTCAGGGGCCCGCAAAAGTTTTCTTAAAGGATCAGACAGTAAATATATTACGTTTTGGGGGGTGGCCAAACCTAGTCTCTCCCAAGTACTTAGTTCTGCTGGTGTAGCCAGAAGATTTAAAATACAAACAAGATTCTGTAATTTTTTTAAAATCCCAAACTTAATAATATTCTTTTTCAGTAGATGATCTCCATTAATATTTCATAGCCATACAGAATGCTGGGGTTGAAACAAAATTTGGAAACCATCCTGCATTCACCAAAAGACAGAGTCCCTCCTACTATATTCCTCTGTGGCCTCTGAGCATTTCCAGGAGACACCTCATTGTAACACAAGATCCAATGATAACTCAACCATTTACCACCTGAACCATGGCAACAGGCCATAAATGTCTGCCTCAATCTTCCTGACCATCTTAGAGACAAAATCACCTTTCTGAAATAATACACCAACACAGGAGGTGCTTGAAATACACTGATTTCCCGACCAATTCAGTGTCCTTCATTCTATGTATCTACCTTCCACTCTCTCTGGCATAATCAAATAGATCTGCCAATTATCCTGAGATTTTTGTGATCCTGCCTACCTGAGTCCAACGCCCTACTTTTTACCTTGTTCCCTATGTCACAATGTCACAGCTTCCCTGCCTTGCCTGGGAAGATTCCATTCACTTGCCTCCCCTCACCCCCCGAGTATTCACTGATAGCTATAAGCATCCTTTTGTGTTTCTTCTAACTTTTATGAAACTAGAGTTTACCTTTTTCGTACAGATTCCTAAAGGGAGAATTTCATTGTAAACAAGAATCTAGTCCTTCAATTGCTTTTCTTGGCGTCTGAGTTGTCTCTTTTTACCTTCCTTTTATGTAGGAAAGGCTTCTGTGTGCACTGTCACCTGAAGTTTACCGGAGAGTCACTCATCCAAAAACATGTGTTTACCATACTTAAAAGTGTTATCGCTAGGATCTTATTAGAACTCCCCTGGAGACAGGGACACTTTAATTAAATGTTGCAAACATCTATGGAGCCTTACCATACTCACATTATTTTGCGAGGTGCTGGTACGAATACAGAAATGGATATGATAAAGGCAACGTTCCAGTGTGTGCACTGTGGTGGAGAAAATAAATAAAATCTTTGCCTTGTTGAAGGCATCCCATTAATTAAAGAGATAACATTTTCCCCAGAACTAGTTACCTGTTTAAGTTTGGGTCCCACACAAAAACCGATAAATAGACAGCAGATCTATCTTCTGGTATCTAATATCTATCTATCATATCCCTCCCTCCCTCCCTCCCTCCCTCCCTCCATCCCTCCTCCCCTCCAGCCAAGTTTTTCAAACTCCTTGTCCATACAACATTGATGACCCTAACTTCAGCTCTTTACACATTTCTTTTCCCCGTGAGGCTGAGCTGCTTGAGGGCAGGTCACGTCTTTCCACTACCCTCCTCGCCGGTACCTACGGCTTCCTGATGGAGACCTTACAGGTAACCCACGTGAGCGCGTACTCCGCGGCAGACACGCCCAGGCGGGCTTTATTCACATCCAATCACTTAGTACGCACACTCCCTCCAGCCAATGAGCGAATACGTACTCCTTCTCCACCTCCCGCCGGGCGGCCACCGCCCCCTCAGTCTCCGGTCGTCCCGTCACCGCCCCAGGTTGCCCCGCCCTGCTCCGCCCTCTCACCGCCGCGTGCTCGGGGAGTGAGTCGCGCGCCACTGACGTCACCAGCACGCGCCCCGTCTGCTGCAGTCAGCCTGCGAGGGAGTTACGCTGGTCCTGATTCTCCTGGAGTCTCCTGCCCGCCCAGTGGCCGCAGTCACCCAGGTCCAGAGGCCGCGGTATCACAGGCTCTCCGACATGTCTATGCTGGCTGAGCGTGAGTGTCCGAAGCAGAGGCCCGACCCGGGCGCGTCGGTGAAGATGCTGGGTGACCCGCCCGGCAGTCCCGAGTGACTGGGAGCGCGGGTTCCAGGCGCGCCTGGCGCATGGGGTCGGGGGACCGGGGAGCCGAGCCTGGCTCTGCTTGTCCTGCTCGCCGCAGAGCTCCCCGAAAGTTGGCCGCGGGTCTGCTAGTGAGAAAGACCGCGAGTGTCTCCCGGAGACGCCTTCCTCACAGTCACCCTGGGGCGCGCGCGAAGTGGGTCAGAACACCGGGTCCCGCGACTGGCCCCGCCGCCGCCCTTTGTGGGGACCCGGACTGGTTGCTTCACTGCCCCCGGACCTCAGCTTCCTCAGGTTAAAAAGAGAAGGTTGAGCAGAAGGATCACTTCAAACTGTAATCACATTGTCCAAGATGTCTTGGACCCAGAAAAAGAAAAGCAAAGGAGTTAGAAGTCTCAAATATGGGACGTCAGCCACTTAGCGGGGGAGTGCAGGGCTAATGCGTAATTCTAAATGAGATCGGCGTTTTTGATCTTGTTGGCCACAGCGCCCGGTCCTGCCTGTTTACCTTTGACATTTACCTTCACTTTGTGGAGCAGGTGAAACCCCTGTTTCTGGAGAGGCTGCTGAACTTCTGAATTGTGCCTGCAGCTAAGGTCGCTTGCCACCAGATGGCAGTCGTGCTTTGATCCTGAAAAGCGGGTCCTTCTTGTGAGTTGTATAGTGAGCAATGAACAGGAACAGCTTATTTAACAGATCAACCAGACCAGCACAGCGATTTTGTGAAATAAATGCTGTTAGCACTCTCTTTTCTAAGAGGATGGAGGACTAGGAGCACAAAACAAAATGGGTCAGTCACCATCCCGGTTTTACAGGGGCAGAAATTGACGTTCAAAGGAAAATAATTTGCCCCTAGTCACTGAGCTAGAAAATGGCAAAATTGATCGTTATCTCTGTATCTTTATATTCTTGCCAGTAAGACCAGCGGAGACCCATAGAAATGAGTATGTTTTAGACTGAACCCGTGGGTTCTATTTTTTCACCAGTAAAAAATCAGGAGTCAGGGTTAGAGCCTAGATAGCTCAGATCTCTTCTGGTTTTCGTATTTGATGTTTGCTCAATTCAGCATGCACTTGGCGACTTTGGCCCTAATTCTGCTATTCATTTATGTCTGTTCCTTTGATCGGTGTTTGTGAGGCCACTAAAATCTTCTCTTACTATCTTTATCTCCAGGTGGCCTTAAATCAATGAGATGGTGAACATGAACATAGTTGGAAAAATCTGTAGAGGTGTAAAATGCTATTTGTAGACATCCGTAATTCAGATTGCATGATTTCAAGAGAGTGTTTTCAGTTCTCCTTTCCCAACGTTATTCCAAATTGTCAAATCTTTGTCATTATAATATGTAACCTTTTGTGTTTTTTTTTTCTCCATAATTTGCCAAATGGGTATAGCATCTTCTGTAATTAGATATTTAGGATTGGTGTTGTTAAGAAGAAAAACCTTAAACAAATTAAACAGTTTGATTGAGCAAAGAATGATTCAAGGACTAGGCAACCTTCAGAACTAGAACAGGTTATAAGAACTCCAAGCCTATGCTGTCAGGCAGTGTTTATGGACAGTAAACGTAAGTGAGGTACAGAGACAACTTGGTTAGGGTTACCGCTCTGATTTGCCTTATTTGAATCAGCTGGCTGCCTGTGATTGATGCTCAGCTGCTGTAAAGGATTGAGACTCAGTTATATGTTACAAGAGTGTACTCCTACGATAGGCTTTCGCTTCGCTTAAGTTCTAACGTACGTTGTAGTTCCTTACGTAAGGACTCAAGTACGGAGGCCTCCTCAGGCCAAATTTAGTGTAATAATTCGCTCCTTCTGATCAGCCTCTGAATTTTGAGAGATTGTTTAAAACTTCTGCTCCTAGCTCTTGGGAGTCAACACGCCCTTTAGAGTAAATGGGATCCTAGCATAAGTCATGTGGCATTGAGCTGTTGTGTGGATGGTTTTTATTGGATTTGCCCAAAAGTATCCCGACAGATCCATTTACAGTTAGATCTCCACATAGGAGTAGCTGCTAGAGGATGGTTAAATACATCCCAAATAGTGATTCTGCAGGTTCAGGGCATTCTACCTGAAGTCCAGCGCCATGCTGTAAACACTGCTATTCCAGATCGTGTCAAGGGTCCTCAAGATCATCCCGAGATTCAGCGATGTGCTGGGGGATTCAGGCACAGGACTCAGCATGTAGTCGCACTCACTGCTAAGATTATTATAGCAAAAGGATGCAGAACAAAGCTGGCAGAAGGAAAAGATGCATGGGACAAAGTCCAGAGTAAGGCAGGCATCAAGCTTCCAGAGCCCTCCCCCAGGGAGTCACACATGACACGCTTAATTCCTCCAGTAGTGAGTTCTGACAGCAAATGTGGAATGTTGCCCACCAGGCAAGCTAGTGAGAGACTCAGTGCCAGGGATTTCCTGGGGGCTGGGCACATAGACACCCTCTACCTGGCAGGCACCAAAATTCCAGGCTCCTAGAAGGAAAGCAGGCATTCAGCATAAACCGTATCATTTGTGTAAACAGGAACAATGAGCCACTCTTATCAGTTCTGCGAATGGTAGGAACCCTTGGGTTCCCTGTTATAAACAGGCCTTTCAAAGGATAGCAGTCAGGCCTGCTGTGTTAGTGAACAAAGCTGCGATCTGAGCACAGAACAGACTGTGGCATGAGAATTACAAAGGACATGTAAAAGATGAGCCAATTGGAAGAGCTCGGAGGCAGTCTTTTCCTTACCATGATTTTCCACACCTGGAAACTTGCGTGGCATTAGAGCCGGGAAGTGTTCCAGGGAAGCAGGGTTCTGGTCAAGTAAGTCTGGGAAGCAGGCAGGCCTGCTCTGGCCTCCCCTAAGAGGATCTGCACATTTGCATAGTAAAGTTTCCAGGAGATTCTTCAGTATTTTGTTTAACCCAGTGTTACTCATTTTCAATGGGAAACTGCCCCCCTTCCCTTTTAGCATCCTTGTTTGGAAACACTGGTGTGATCCCATTGATTGAAGCTAACTGCCATTTCCCCAGGGGAGAGGAACTGACCTCGAATAGCTAATCTCTCGTGTAGGCATTATCGTTTGTTTTATGTAAGTATGTAACATGAAGTGTGTGCAGTTCTTATTGCAGAGTGTGAGCTTATTCTCAAAACTGTCTCCTTCATACAAACCCTCGTCAAAGAACCCTGGCAAGCACTGCATAGACACATGAACTCTGACACCCTGATGCCAGCTTGCATATAGAATACTGGCTAACAGGCTTCTCTCTGGTGTGTTGTTCCTTAGCAGAGGCAGTGTTATGCTGAGTATTTGCCAAGATAAGTGAAGTGGTAACTTAGATGGAACATTTTTGGGTCACCTTTTTTTTTTCCTGCAAAACACTACAAATTCGAGCCCAGCTTGTTTTGCTTTGTTAGGTGGCCTTTTTTCTGCCTGTGTATTTGTAAAGGGTTTCCTATTTTTGCTGGAGGGTGCATAGTTATGGGCCTCTATTGATTCTATGTGTGGCACAGTGAGCCCCTTTGCCAGGGGGTCGTGTTATTTTTTAATTATGTGATGAGATGGGCCAGGTAGGAGGGGTTGTGTGGATGGTTAGACAATGTGCTTACATTGATGTGGCAGATAAACGGTAATGATACCTCCAAATTTCTCATTTGGCCACAGTCTACTTTTGGGTTTCATATTCTTGTTCTTTGAACCTTTGGAGTTCTTTATTTTTGCCATAATTTTCCTTAAAACTACAGTGATAAACTTGAGTTCATAATGATCAGTAGTTTATATGCATTAAAAAAAGTTGCTTTGATGAGATTCAAAGCAGTTCCCTTAATTCAGTTATACTCCTTCCTTCCTTTTTCCCTCTCCCTCTTCTTTCCTCCTTTCTTCCCTCTTTCCATTCTTCATTTTTATTCATTTATTCCATTCACATATTTATTGAGTGCCTGCTGTGGGCAGTGATTTTTTTATTTCTTGCAATGAAGCCTCAGAAAAAAGACATGAATATGAGCCCTAAGGACATGATGGTCTAATGGGAAACCTGAAAGGTGGATGTAAATAGCTCTAATACAGTAGATGTTAAGGAACAGGTAAGTTATTCTAGAAGTTCAAAGGGGAGTCAGAGGGCTTCAGGGCATCTCTGTGAGAGGGATGGAGTTGTTATTTTCTGTAGGTCATATGTGTGGAGGGTACAGTTGACTCTCCCCAAGAGTGTAATGACTATTCTATGTTGCGGATTAAGAATATAAGCTTTGAAGTCAGTAGGACCAAGGTTGGTTTAAAGGGTCTGGGTTTTGCTTGGGGATGTTGGGCAAATTTGTTTCTCTAAGCCTCAGATTTTCATATCTGCCAGTGATGATGGTACTATCCACCCTTGTTGGGTTACTGTGAATCTTTATTATGTACAGCGTTTGGAGCAAGTCTCAGGTTGAACAATTGGCATTTATTATTTTAAGTGCATCCTTGGTATTGCATATTATTTTGTATGTAGTAACGCATGGCAGTGGAAGCTGTAACTGCTGCCACTACCACTGCTGATGGTGATGAGGACGCTGGTGTCCACAGGGGCTTTCAGTTGTACTGATGGTGGAGTATGGAAGGCGCAGCTCCAGTGTGTTGAGTATTTGCTTTGCCACATTATGAGGGAATATTTCCATTTTAATCTTAAGAGGTCAACTTATATGTCTAGAATGTACATTTATTAGGGAAACCAGGATAAATGATCCAGTCTGTTAACATTCTATTGAGGGTTGAATTAATTTCTGTATTGTAATGTATGTCATATTTTACAAACATACATAAAATACACAAAGTTATGCATGTATATGTTTGTGTGGTATTTTCCAGGTCTGAAAGGTAGTGCATTGCTGATGAGATGCTTTTTCGTTTCTAGGTCGGCGGAAGCAGAAGTGGGCTGTGGATCCTCAGAACACTGCCTGGAGTAATGACGATTCCAAGTTTGGCCAGAGGATGCTAGAGAAGATGGGGTGGTCTAAAGGAAAGGTATTTTGGAGAAAAGCAGAAAAAATCTGAGCTATGAAAAGAGATTAGAAATTAGGGGAAAACTTCCTTCTTAGGAGACTGGAAGAAACTTATGCTTTGGATCAGTAAGTGATTTTGATCCAAAATCAAAAATTGTTGTGACCTTATGATAAGTTAGGATTGAACATAAGTGTCAACTGTCTATCATTTAAGCTGCCATGCTTAGCATCTTTTGTAGATTGTGAAACTAGGGCTACACGCTTTTTTCCCTTTCCATTTGTTCGTGACTCCAGTAGAGCTTCTGCTGATATCTCTACACTTAAATGGTTCTCGTTGAGGTTGTTAGTGATCTTTAAGTGCCAGTCCAGTGGGGCCTTGTTTTGTTCTCATATTATTTCACTCCTCAGTGGTGCTGGATGTAATTGACTACTCTCTTTGAAATACTTCTGTCTTGGCCTCCACAGTACTATTGTCTCTTCTGTTCTTCCTTTTAACCTCACTTGCCACTCCTAAATTCATTGCTGTCTGTTCTTTCTGTAGACTTTTGATTATTAGAGCTCCTTGAGGCTGAACCTCAGGCCCTCTTTTGCACTCTGCTCCGGTGATCTCATTCATTCCCTTGCAACACTTTGGATTAGCTAAAGTCTGGGAACTGTCATTTTTCTGTATCTAGTCCAGTTCTGTCCTCTGAGCTCTAGATTTGTAAATTCAGTAGCCTACTTGATATTTCCTCTTGAGTAAGCATCTCAAGGGTATCATTTCTATTATAAAACTCTTGATTCCCCCAAATATATTTTTTCCCAAGTTTTCCCCATTTTTCATACGTGGTACCATCTGCCACTTACACAAACCAGAAACCTGAGAGTCATGCGTGGTTCCTCCACCCTCTCACCTCCTGCACCCCCAGTCATCATTCTTCTCCATGCAGGGCAGTGCTCTGCTTCAGCCACTGTCATCAGTTGCACTCATTGACTCCTTAGACTCTCAACTGCCTCCCTTCCTCCCTCCTTTTTCTCTTCTGGCCCATTTGCTATACAGCAGCCAGAATGATCTTTTAAAATATGGAAATTAGATCATGTCATTCTTAAAAGACCAGTGGTTTTCCATTGTGTTTAAAATAAAATCCAAATTCCTCCCATAGGTTATGTGAGATCTAGCCCCTCCGTCATCCTATTTCCTTCATTCCTTCATTTGCGGAAGCCACCCGGGTGCCTGTGAGGTTTCCCAGTACACTGAGTGTTTCCCACCCAGGGTCTTTGCACTTGATCTTCCCTTACCTGGAAAATCTTACAGATGAGTGCTGATTGATACAGAGGACTTAGAGTCCTGCCCCGTGTTGTTTTGTGAAAGTATTTAATGGAGAGAATCATCCACTCAGAACACCTGCCATGGGCATCTGTGAGTTTTGTAGCAGTGCTCTGCTTCTGAGTATCAGTGAGAGGCATGTTCTAACTCTCTTTGTGTTTAATCTCCACAGGGTTTAGGGGCTCAGGAGCAAGGAGCTACAGATCATATTAAAGTTCAAGTGAAAAATAACCACCTGGGACTCGGAGCTACCATCAATAATGAAGTGAGCAGCAGTGTGCCTCCTGGGTGTCTTTGCATAATTGACTTTAGTCTTGTAAATGTAAAAATTTTAGTCCAGTCAGTTGATTGATTCATCCGTTTCTGACTGTTGGTGCAGCATTTCATTTTATTCACATTTCCTCTTGAACACTGACACTTTGAATGCGTGGCACTGTCATTCGAAGTCCGTGGCCTACCGTGCTTTTCATTTTTAGTATCATTGTTCCCTTTTGCAAAGTATCTAAACTGGAAGTTTTCTTCCTCAGTTTTTGCAGCCAGCAGAATCCGGTAGGAAATCTGGAGAATTACTTTAGGTAAATTGAATTACTTCGGTTAGTTCAGTATCTCTGAGTAGTGGATTGGCGGAGCTAAAATTTTTAGCCACTGAAGAAAGAGTTTATATAAGGTTGATTTCAAATGTAGTTGTTGAGGGATAGATGACACAGATATACTTACTTTCTTAGAAGAAGCATTGCCCAGTAAACCTATTCCATACTGCTTTACCTTAAGTATTCTTAAAAATGCATAAGAATGTGAGTAAGGCAGATGCCCACATTGAAACCCTGCTTCCCACTGGTTTGGGAGATCTTCATTCTCTCATAAAATAATGAACTTATTAGGTAACCACCTCACAAATGGATGCTCATTGATTCAGGGGACTTGAGGTCCTTCCTCCTCCCCTTCCTCAGAGTTTTGTAAAATAGGAGTTGATGCAAGTAATTAGAATATTTTAATTTCTACTGAGCAAAGAAGAACATTTCTGTGTCTCTCATGGTTCTTGTCCTTTGAGCTATGGAATTTCCCCTAGTGAGAAAAAAACAGTAATTTTGTTGTGTTTTACTTTAACATTTAGCACACACGTTGCCTGTTGATTCTTTACTATAGATTGACTTGATTGACAGTCATTCACTTTTGAAATCAGGCCTTAAGCTTCCAGGAAGCCCCTTTTTAATATTGACCTGGATAAAGAGCATTTTAACTTTATATTATTTCTTGAATCCACTTAAATTTATCAAATAATATTTTGGTAAAACATTTAAAATTTCTTAACCACTGGATTTCCTTCATTCCAAAATATATCATCTCAGTCAGTGTAGGTAAACTACAGGCTTACCTCTCATTCATTTCTTTGATATTTTCAGGACAACTGGATTGCCCATCAGGATGATTTTAACCAGCTTCTGGCTGAACTGAACACTTGCCATGGGCAGGAAACCGCAGGTAGGGAAATTGGATGACATAAGCTGTCAGTGAAAATATGTTTATCTACTTTTTGTTTTTTGCTTTTGTTATTTTTAATTGACACATAATTCTACATATTTATTGAGTACAGTGTGATATGTCAATACCTGTGCACAATGTAATGTACACATGTGTTGTGTTCATCAGCACAATTAGCATACACATCACCTCAGACATTTATTATTTCTTTGTGTTGGGAACATTTGAAATCTATTCTTCTAGCTATTTGAAAATATACAATAAAATATTATTTACTATAGTCACCCTACAGTGCTATAGAACACTAGAGCTTTTTCCTCTTATCTAGTGGGACTTTTATATCCAGTAGCCAATCTTTAGCTATTCCCACCTAGCTATTCTCCTTACCTAGCTCTAATAACCACTATTCTACTATCTACTTTTATAAGCTCAACTCTTTTAGCTTTTCCATATGAATGAGAATGTGCGATATTTATCTGTGCCTGGCTTATTTCACTTGATGTCCTCCAGGCTCACCCATGTTGCCTCAAATGGAAAACGCTCATTCTTTCGTAAGGGTAAATAGTATTCCACGGTGTGTATGCACCACATGTTGTTTTCCCGTTCATGTGTTGGTGGACACTTATTTTTATTCCATATCTTGGCTGTTGTGAATAGTGCTACACTGAACGTGGGTTTGCCGGCACCTCTGCAACATGCTGATTTCCTTTCCTTTGGGTAATGCCGGGAGTGGATTGTTGGATCACATAGTAGTTCTATTTTTAACTTTTTGAGGAGCTGCCATACTGTTTTCTATAGTGACTACATCAATAGTGCATAAGATTTCCAATTTCTCCATATCCTTGCCAATACTTATCTTTCATATTTTCGATAGTAGCCATCCTAATGGGTGTGAGATGATGTCTCGCTGTGATTTGGATTTCCATTTCCCTAATGACCGATATTAAGCATCTTTTCATCTGCTTATTGGCCATTTTTATATCTTCTTTGAAGAAATGTCTATTTAAATACTTTGCCCATTTTTAATTGGATTTTGTTGTAATCTGCAAGCATTTTTATAAACATTCTAGTTTATAAACAGTCTATTCCTTGTGTATCATGTGTGAATAATCAAAAGATATGTGATAGATTGAAAGAGAATTTTGTGGAGTGAAATAATGAATTAGACTTGAGTTCAGCAAATATTTATTGAGCTGTGTGCCGGGTACCAGTTTAGGTGTGAGGATCTGCAGGGGTGTCAGGCACAGTCCTGCTTGGATGTACCTAGCAGAATATGCTGGTAATTACCTGGTAAAATCACAGCACACATCTAACCATAAGAAGGTTTATTGCAGTGCTGTGTGTGGAAGTGAGCCCAAAAGCATGAAGGGAAAGGTGCTTTGTTGGTACTTTTTCTAACCAGATTGGACTTTTTGTTGGAATGTATAACTTGGACAGTTTTCCTTATCCATAGGATCATGATTTTGAAATATCCTAACAGTTCTGTATGTGGTCCTAATATGAAGGCCAATAATTTATTAGCAGAAGAAAAAGATAAGGAAAATGTTTTCTGAAAATACCGAGTGACTCATATTAGGAAATACAGGATCTATGAAGTAGTAAAGTTCAAGGACACTATTCCTTACTAATTATACACAGAAAACATCTTGATATTTATGATCACACTTGAACTCAGTAGAAATACAGATAAGAATGTAAGCCTGGCTGGGCACGGTGTAATCCCAGCACTTTGGGAGGCTGAGGCAGGCAGATCACCTGAGATCGGGAGTTCGAGACCAGCCTGACCAACATGGAGAAACCCTGTCTCTACTAAAAATACAAAATTAGCCGGGCGTGGTGGTGCATGCCTGTAGTCCCAACTGCTTGGAGGCTGAGGCAGGAGAATTGCTTGAACCTGGGAGGCAGAGGTTGCAGTGAGGCGAGATCGCACCGTTGCACTCCAGCCTGGGCAACAGAGTGAAACTCCATCTACAAAAAAAAAAGAATGTAAGCATGACCGTATAAGACTTGGAGATTAAATAGGATGTAGTGGTTTAGAGACAGACACCAGAGTCAGACTGCCTGGATTTTAATCCTGGTCTGATTCTTCATTTGCATGACCTTGGGTAAATTGCTGAACATGGCTGTATTTCGAGTTCCTCTTTGGTCAAATGGAAGCAGTAGTGTCATCCTTGGAAGGTTGTTGTGAGGACTAAATGCGTTATAACATCTGAGAAAAGCAAGCAGAGATACTCAGCACTGTAAGCCTCCTGATAGCGTAGCTGGCAAGTCTAGAGCCATAAACTACGATTAAGGCTAGAAAATTTACTTTACTCTGAAGGATTTCGATAAGGAATCTTGGGTTTTATTTTCTCTCTCCCTTTTTTTTTTTTTTTTTTTTTTTTTGAGATGGAGTCTTGCTTTGTGGCCCAGGCTGGAGTGCAGTGGCGCAATCTTGGCTCACTGCAACCTCCGCCTCCCAAGTTCAGGCGATTCTCCTGCCTCAGCCTCCTGAGTAGCTGGGATTACAGGCACATGCCACCACTCCTGGCTAATTTTTGTATTTTTAGTAGAGACAGGGGTTTCACCTTATTGGTCAGGCTGGTCTCAAACTCCTGACCTCATGATCCACCCACCTTGGCCTCTCAAGGTCCTGGGATTACAGGTGTGAGCCACTGTACCTGCCCTCATGATTAGTAGATTATAGTTAGTAAAATTAGCGGATCTGTTATAAATTTTAATGAATGCTTATTAAACACATCTCTTTAGCAGTGTACCTCCTGACGAGCTGGGTTGGCATAGGGGTGTGGGGACTAGGCCAGCTGCTTTGATTGCTGCTTTGACACCAGTATTTTCGCTTGTCCCTCACTGATCCCAGTAAGAGGAAAGTTGTGCCTTTCCTTTGTAAAGTGGGAGGGGGCACCTGGGAAAGGACAGCGAGATTGACGCATAACTCAGACTCTGAGTAGTTTCAGGCACGAGTGCACATGAACAAATGGATAGAAAGTGATTCCTCAAGGCCTGGCGGTACTCATGCATCCTTCTTGATACCTGCATACCGAGAAGGTAGAGACGCTCCCCAGGTCATTCTTCTGTCCTCTCAAGGCTGAGAGCTGCTCTGTGAGGGCACAGTGTGGTGGTTCAGGATATGGCCTCGCAGTCATGTCTTGCTGGGCATTGGTCCCATCACGGTGGTTTCCTGGGTGTGCGTTATCAGTGTCGTCCTCTGTGGTGAGTTCAGGCATCACAGCAGCTCTCTTATGGAGTGGCTGTGGGAAGGAAATCCAAGAATTCATGGAAAGCCTCCAGTCCAGCGCCTAGTCCCTCATACATTTGCAGTTGGTAGGAGCCACTTTAAGCTGATAACTTCCTCTGTGATCTGTGATTGGAACATCAGCATTGAAAATGTTATGTGCCATATGAAGTGCAAAAGAGAAGAATTTACTAGTAGGATGTCTTTGCAAAAAAATCCAAGGTGTCCCTGGGAAGTGGCTGCAGAAGAGAATGTTTCAGCTTGTGGAAATAATGCGCCCGTGCTGGGCTTTGCCTCAAGTGTGGAACGTCTGCCTTCACGTTCTTCCGAGCCTGCTGTATAGTTCCCATTTCAGCTTTGAAATAAGTCACTCCTGGGAGGGACTTCAGTGCAGTCACATGCTGTTGAATGGACACGTGCTTGTTTCGCTCCAGTATTAGGGTGAGAGTTTCTTTTTTTCCAGCTTCTCTTGTATCCTCTGAAGACGGTTGGGTTGTTGGATTTTTTTTCTTTTCTTTTCTTTTTTTTTTTTTTGAAACGGAGTCTCGCTCTGTCACCCAGGCTGTAGTGCAGTGGCGCGATCTCGGTTCACTGCAACCTCTACCTCCCAGGTTCACGCCATTCTCCTGCCTCAGCCTCCTGAGTAGCTGGGACTATGGGCACCCGCCACCACATCCAGCTAATTTTTTGTATTTTAAGTAGAGACGGGGTTTCACTGTGTTAGCCAGGATGGTCTCGATCTCCTGACCTCATGATCCGCCCGCCTTGGCCTCCCAAAGTGCTGGGGTTACAGGCGTGAGCCACCACGCCCGGCCGCTTTTTTTCCAGTTTCTCTAACGTCATAGCTGAATGTTCTTAAAACTATAGGAAAATTTAGTCTCTCTTCTACCTGTGATCTGTTTCTGTGGCACTGTTCTGTCTGAACTTGACAAGCAGATACAGGTGAGAGAATGCAGGTGGCTAGCTAATTTATAATTGACTCTAACCCCAGATCAGCCTGCTCTGATATTTCAGGCAAGGGACTACTTTCTGGCTCACATTTTCCCTTCTGTCAAAGGAGTTCCCACTCGGATGTCTTCCTCAGTGGTGTGTTCCTGCTCCTTTTGCCTTGCCAGTGGTCCTCCCCAAAACCCTGAGGAGGTGGCTCGGAGCCAGTGCTGCTCTGTTACATGTCACCTAATCGTCATCTCTGATCTGTATTTAGATGATCATTTAACCTGTCTTACCTCTATTCACTTTTTAAAATAACTTTTTATTTTGAAATAATTACAGGCTTGTAGGAATTCGCAAAATGATACAAAGAGTCCTGCACGTCTTTCCCCTGTTCTCTCAGGGTGGAGAGACATTATATTGCTGTGGCTTTTCGAAACCAGGAAGTTGACACTTGGTGTTACTGTTAACTGCACCACAAACCTTATCCAGTTTTCATCACTTTTTTTGGCCTCCATTCGTTTGTACATGGGTATATGCTTCTGTGCAATTTTATCACAAGTGTAGATTCATGCAGCACCCACGACGGTGAAGATACAGGATTGGCCACCACGGCACAGCAACCTCATGCTTCATCTTTGTATTTGTACTCACTGTACCTTTATCCTTGTCCCCGAGAAACCATTCATCTGTCCTCTCTCTATATAGTTTTGTCATATCGAGAATGTTCTGTAGATGGAGTCGTATGATGTGTTTTTCTAGATGGACCTCTTTGACTAAGCACAGCACCCTGGAGTTCGTCCTGGCCGTTGCAGTGGCAGCGGCCGCCCCTCTTCACTGTGGAGTGGTATTCCACTGCAAGGATGGCCCAGGGCTTGCTCGGCTGTTCATGCATATTCACATGTTGAAGGACTTGGGCGTGATTTCGGTATTTTGCTGATGAATAAGGCTAATATGAACATTTGTGTCTAGGTTTTTGTGTGAACACAAGTTTTCATTTCTTCCTCAAGGATTTTCTAAATTTCTGGAGGGCAGCTTGGCCTGATCCATAGTATGCAAATTAAGGAAATATTTCTAATCATTTGACCGGTAGAAAGAAAACAGAGATCCAGCAGAAGGGTGCTATTGCAGAGCAAATAAATGAAAGCGCTCAATCATAAATGATATGGTTCCTAAAATTTTCTTTAAAGACTATCCACTGTTAGGAGAATAAATGAGATTGGATTACAAAGACTTTAATGTATTTTTTTTCATCTTTTTTTTAAGATTCCTCAGACAAGAGGGAAAAGAAATCTTTTAGCCTTGAGGAAAAGTCCAAAATCTCCAAAAACCGTGTTCACTATATGAAATTCACAAAAGGTAAGATTAAGCATTTCTTTACTTGTTGTTGAAATCTGTGTGTTTGTCCTGAGTTGCTTGAAGCATTTTAGCTCTTGGCCAACAGTGACTTCATGCTTTATGGACAGCCCGACTGAATTGCTCTGAAACGGTGCTGGAGTCTTCGCGTTGACTGTGGTGTGCCTGAGGATCTTGTTAGAATTCAGATCTGGGAGATTTGAGATGGGATCCAGGTTAGGCTTTAGAGTGGGAACAAATCCTGTGGCTGAGCTGAAAAATGGAATCAGCTTATATTTAGAGGAAAAAGGGACTTTATGTAGCTAGGTCAGAAAATAATTTTTATTTCCTGCCCAACATTTTTAGCTGCACTGTGTTTTTTCACAGCTGAGTGTTGGTGTTAAATAGCTCTTAATGTGCCAAGTTAGAGAATTATGCTCTATGTTGAGACCTCCAGTGTGATAAAGCACACTCCCTGGTTGACCTTTTATTCCATGTAATTTATCTATTTCACAGCGTAGGCATTCCATGGTCATTGCCAAGTTGGGTAGAAAGCCGTTTGAGAACTGGGTGAGAATCCCTATTCCTTCATCACCACCTCCCCAGCCCCTTCCCAGTGTGTGAAATCATTTGTGCATGCGGTTGTCCTCTTCAGCCACTAGGTGGCGGTCTTGCATTGGAAAGAAACAATTTAACTTAATCGCATCAACTCCCCAGTTGTTTGCCTGTAGAACCGTATCATGAATTAGAAACCTACTTATTACATAGTATACATAAGAAGCATGATGATGATGCTGATGCTGTCATATCTAGTCTCTACTGATGGTTCTTTCCTGGGAGGTTGGATGTGTTTTACCTCGATATGCCAGGAAAAGCACATCTCTTTGCTTTGGTCTTCTATGAATGCCATGCATATCAGGGCATTGCTGGGAAGCTCTTAACTTGTAGAACCAGCCTGGATAGCAGTGGGAGCTGGAATTCCCACTACTTTGAAGTACTGATGATGTTTTTCATGTGGGGCCAGGAGCCCAAAAGTAAGGACTGGGTTTGGTTGAGGTGAGAGGCCGTGGCAGAGTTGAGTGAATCAGGGCTTGTGTGCAGGGAGAGGCTGGGCCTCCCTTCTCTCATCAGCAGCCGTGGCTCTTCCGCTTCATCCCTTCTTTCTCTCACGCGGAACTTTCTTGGCTGTCACCTGTATCCCTTCTGACTGGGGTTCTTCTCCACCCCAGCCTGCTACGGATCAGAATATAGGCTTCGTTGGCCCTCAGTCCTTTTGAGGAGAGGGTAAATGCTCACTTCATACTCAATCCCTGAAATAGCACTTCTGTTTTCATTAGACTGTAGAAAAAAGCAAGATCACAGAAGGTGCTGTTGCAGAGCAAATTAATAAAACTCAGTGAGCTGTAACTTTCGGATGGTGTGGCAGCATTTTACGCTTTCACTTTTACAGGTAGAATCTTCTGATTTTCCTTTGGTGCCAGACTGCATGCATGATTTCATCTGAAGCATTTGCTGAGGCTGGGATAAGCCTCTGTAATCTGCTTTAATCTAATGGATGCCGGGAGCATCTGCTTTCTATTTCTAGTTAAGCCACTCCTTTGCTGGGTGACCCTGTCAGACTGCTGGGTGACTTGTGCCTTCGTTTTCTGTCTTCCAGCGACCGTTCTGTATCTATTAGCCTTGCCTGGGAAGAAGGGGGAGTCAGTATGCAGAACAGAAAGAGTCCCGGATCTATTGTCAGATTGCAGAGAGTAGCTGGAGTGGAGACTGGAAGGACATGCAGACTGGGCCTATGTAGGAAAGAGAGAAGGAAGCACAAGTCCAGGGAGTGAAGAAAAGAATGGTTTACCATCTGGCTTTTCAGTCCTCGGTGCAAGCTTATTTTAAAGTTTCCTCAAGGGTGCACTATCTTAGATCACAGAAAATCTGACTCTGGCCATTACTCGCTTAGACAAGTCACCTACCCATTTCCCTTCAGACTCAGTTTCCTCTTTTGTAAAATGTGGATACATTTTGTTAAGTTCTAAGGTAGGTTCTGTTTTATGATTTATAAGAAGTGACCCATTTATGGAACTTTTGCTTTTTCAGCATTATAGACCATAAAGAATTTAACCAGTGGGCATGCTCATAATGACAGTAACTCATTCACTTAGTTGATGAGATTGATTCATATTGTCACTCATGTATAGTCCAGGAAATCAAACAGGAAGATGGAAATTTTACATAGCTTGGTAAGAGCTACTGCCTAAATATTGGCTTTATCATTATTTTTATTTTTATTTTGAGACAGGATCTCACTCTGTTGCCCAGGCTGGAGCACAGAGGCACAATCTCAGCTCACTGCAGACTTGACCTTCTGGGCTCAAGTGATCCTCCTTCCTTAGCCTCCCAAAGTGCTGGGACTACAGGTGGGAGCCACTGCACCTGGCTGGTTATATCTTTTTAGTTCTGATATATAATTATTCCTTTCCCTGGTCCTGAGTTTATCATTCTAACTTGAGCTAATTTATTGTGTAATTTTAAAAGTCGGTTTTATCCATGCTTATTTAAAAGCCCAACTCCAGCTTGTTTGTGAGTTTTTTTTTTTTTAATTTAAAAGATGTCTGCAGATAGAGGCTATATCTGCAGAGGGGAAAATGTCAATCAATACAAAGCCATTTTTGAGGTTTTCTGACTGGATGGTGAGATGTTGGCAGGAGAGCAGTGCTTCCTCCCCTCAGTTATGCAGTCGTTGGATGAAAGTTGCATAAACTGTAATTGTGCAGCCTTACCCTGGGAATCTTGCAGACTTCTTATTCCTGTGAGAGTTTGGGCTCTTTTATGTGCTTCTTAAACAAGGAAACGACATGCCTAACGCGTGTTCAGGTGTTCAGGTGCTCAGCTTCTTGGTCGGGAAATACAGAATTGGTATTCACAGCGCAGTCAGCCCCGCCCCTCAGTCGCACAAGTTACCCTTATCTTCTGCCCTCAGCTGACTGCCAGTTCTGTGTGTTTGCAATTAAAAAAAAATAAAAATAAAAGTATTTCATTTTATTTGTCCTTCTTGATTGAATAATGAAAATGAATTTTCTAAACAATCGAAGCTACCTATATAAACCCTAAGTGTTTTCTATTTTAGCAAACATTTTCCTCGCCCTTCGCTGCTTTACTCTCAGCAGCTCAACTCTGCTTTTCCGTGGAGTTGGTTTTTCGAGCCTCAGTTCTAATACAGCTTGTTGGGTTATTGCTAAACTGGTTCCAAATCATCTTGATTCCTAAGTTCTCGTGTCTATAAAAGTTTTAGTTGCCTCCCATGTGGACTTCTTGGTATTGTAAAAGTGTCTGACTATAGCAGTAATTTTCCTCCCTTCCCAGTAGCTACTCTGATAGACTGGGAGACTGATAATCATGATTATTAGACAGCAGCTAAAACGACCCTAAATAGAGCGTTCTTCCCTGAAAGCACCTGCTCATCGTTGCAGGAACTTGCAGTCTGACCCTCGGAGGCCTTTCTTACTGGTTCTGCAAATGCCATGCATTGAAGACTAATAGATGAACCAAATCCAGATAGATCTGTTTCCTATCCCGTTTTCTTAATTGTCGTTTTCTCTAACTTTGTCAACAGTATTTTGTATGTTTTGACCATAATTCAGAATTGAAACAAATAAGCTTTTTAAATACGTTTTAAATTTGTGGTATTTATTCACAAGTGGCCATAATTTCCTAGTGTTTATAAGCTTTCCATCAGGACCATTAATTAGTAACAGTCTCAAGGTCACTTCCATCTTCACCTTTTTATCCACCTTTTATATTCCTTTCCACTGGTCTCTGACTCTTCTTTCTCCTCTGTGTTCTTGTTTTCCAGATCAAATCCAGAGCAAAGCCTGTAACAATCCTGGTTTCTACACTTATTTAAGTGAACTTTGCTAAAGGATAAAAATTTCTGATACAAGAATCCATCATCAAAACTTTAGACACAATTGCACCTTCATTGGTATAGCTTACTGTCTCTGCCAGCTTGACAGTTTCCCCTTTGACTTTCAGATCTGTTTTGAATCTCTGTGTGTTTGTCTTTTGACATCGTATTTTAGAATTGTGATCTTGCATATACCCTCTCTTCCTTAATCCCTCCAGCATTCCTTTTAGTCGAATTCCTATAAAAGAGATCTTAATTTGCATTTTCTAGAGTGTCTGTATTCCAGAGGATAGGTTAGGGATAGATGGCCAGTACACATTTTGAAGTAAGTACAGCTGCCTTTTCTGAAGTACAAATTGTGCTTTGCTTTGGAAAATGGGTTGTGCTGGCAGCAAAGCTGTGAGGACATCTCTACACCTCCGATGAGTGTGTCCACCTCTTTCCGCTACAACCAGTTTTCTTCCCCACTTTCCCGGTTCATTTTTTGCACTATCTGTGATGTGCATTGTCTATTCTTAAGTAGGTTTTCCCTTGGGTCTTTTTGTGTAGGTCCTATTTAATCATAAATGAGAAGCAGGAGGGCTTAGTGTCAAGCTCAGGTAGGAAGGAGATCAGCAGGCAGAGCCCAGGGAGCCTGCCCTCCTGGGAGGAACAGGTCATACCGCCTGGGCCACTTCATCTGGTACTGCTGCCTTGGAAACTGGTTTTGGCACCTGGTTTTGCATTAAATTGAAGGGTGTTTTGTTTTTTTAATTTCACGGAGTCACTGAGCAATGTCATATTTAAGTGCCCCAGTGATAGTCAGTGAACTAGAACCTTCTGGGTCATGACATTACTTTGCCAAGTCAGTGTGCTACAGGAAACCAAGAAGACGAGTGAGTCTGTGACGGTGGAACTCGGCTTCCAGTGTGAAACTCACATTCCTGTGTCTGACCCAGAACCTCCCTCGCCCAGAGCCTCAAGCCTTTACATGGAGTAGTCACATTTTACAATGCATTTACCACGCCGTTGAGAAATGGGGATAGATTTGGCCGACTGCTCACAGAGGATTATTGGGTAGAAGTGGAAATTCCAAAGAAGGGAATTTTAAATTAGTTGGTTCGGGGGTTTGAAATTAAAGAGTTTAGTGTTTTAAATAAGAACCATAGAGCCATTTAATTTCCTGCTCTCCCTATGTAGCCTTTTATTTAGAGACAATACAGCTAGAGCAGTAAAGAACATTTTAAGAAGAAAAATCTGAAACCCTGTCCCCCTTATACAGTATTTTTTATTCATATATATTCTTTTAAAATGTTTGTTGAGTTAATTATTAAGCTCCCATATGTCAAATATGATACATTCTCATTCATGTGCATATGTGGAGTTGAAGCTATGTATCTAGTAGTATTTTTTAATCTGCATTTCATAATCTTTAAGTAGCTCATGTCTCTGAAGCAAATGAGATCTATTTTTAAATGAGGAACCCAGAGACCCAGGAATTGCACCTTGAGGGCATAGCGGGAGTAGAGTGAGCTGTAGAATTTAGCTTTCCTTGCAGTCAGTATGCTCTGGGTTGTTTCTATAATTAAGTGAATGTCAAGAGTTCTGGTTCTAAAACATTTACTTGTTTTTAAAATTTAATTAATTTTGTTTACTAATAGAAGAGCTGTAATGAAACAGTGGGTAGAAAGTCAGTAGTTACAAAGTTGTTTATTTCTTTCCCAAAAGCCATTTTCCTTTGAGGTGCTGCGTAACTCATGTCTGTGCTCCTTCTCTTAGGAAGAGCGGTCTCACTGAAAGCATCACATTGTTTTTCTAGGGAAGGATCTATCATCTCGGAGCAAAACAGATCTTGACTGCATTTTTGGGAAAAGACAGAGTAAGAAGACTCCCGAGGTATAAAGCCCAGTACAGTGTCTGTGTTCCGCTTTAATACTGTCTGATTTTCACCTGTGTATGGGACTGTTTCTATCTAGGACTAGTACTTTTCCGACAAAGTTTCCGAAACACTTTGGAGGCTTCATACACAGCCTAGATATGATCCTTTTAATAATATTAGTGGGTAGATAATGTTTTATAAGGAATCTTAAAAAAAAGAATAAGTGTTTTCTGGTTTTTGGCTTTTGTTCTTTTGGTTTTGGTGTGAGAACTAGATTAAACTTGGGGAAGAATACCCATTGCTGTTATAATCGGAGGGGAAAATACCTCTTCCGTGGCCAAGCGGGGAGGGATTTTGTCCGTTCTGCTCCAACTGCGTTACTCCCTTTGGAATGGAGGTGGGAGGAAGCATGTCACCTTCATTCTCTAGAACCAGCCTGTTCCATTCTAACAGCATCTGAGACAGTGCTAGATCAGCACCATCTGTAAGGGGGTTCGATGGGGTGTTTCCGCTGTTATTCAATATTTTTGCTTTACAACCGGAAGAAAAGATTGGGGTGACTAAACTGCACCCTTAATGGAATGAAGTCCATAATTTATCATTCTAATTATTAAATTGGGCTGTATAATATTGCAAAGAATTTTTTGTGCTGTTTTTAAGTGTAAGAGACAGCCCTGGATATAGTTTGAGATATATTAGGATTTTGAAATACAGATTTCTGAAGATAACAGGCTAAAAATACTTAGAACTGGTATTGTCTAAGAAAATCTGGAACATATGGTTGTGACCACTGTTACTCAGCTAACCCGGTATGTTGTGCTGATGTTCTTTTATTGGTTCCTAGCCAGGGCCCTTGGTGACCAGAGAGCAAAAAAGAAGACTTGGTTTATTAATTCCTGGCATTTTTCCAGACTGACAGAAATCTTTATTTCGAGGGTGGTAGATATTTGTTTCTTAATAGTAATAATTTTTAGAGAGTCCAGAATTACCAGTGGTTGGAAGTCTTGTTTGGTGATTCCCTGTGCAGATTGGGACTAAATTCCCTGGTATCTTAGCCCTTGTCTGCCCCTGTACCCTCAGCAGATGGAAGCAGCAGGCTGGGAAAGGATACCTGGCTTTGGTGCCTGTGTGGACTGTGCTGAGTCACGGGATAGGCAGTGGTCACTAGGGAGAAGCTCTCTGACATCAGGCCAGGCTGGCTGCTCCTTCACAAGGGGCTGCTGGAAAGAGCCATGGTCAGACAGGCTGGCTTCTGGTTGCAACTCTGCCCTCAGTGCCCACCGTGAGACCTGGACTAGGCCACTCTTCCTTGTTCACTGAGGACATGGCCTCTGGCTTATCCTAGCCTCCCCTCCAACCCCTCCTCCTTGACTCTCTCAGTCGTCTCCATGTCCTCAGGAAGAAATGGAATTCCAGTCCCGTGCCTCTTGCACTCCATCTCCTTTGGTCTGCCCAACAGCTGCCCCCACCCCACGATCACAGCCTGAGCCTTTGCATCAACTCCACATCCCTCCCACACCTTCAGATAACCCCCATCTCCCCAGCCCCGTGGGGTGCACGGTGCCTTCTGCACTGGTGCTTCCACATCCCCGCACGCTGATCCTCTCTCTTCTCCCTGCCGCCCACCCACCACCCCCAGCCTTTGCCCTCCCGGACACCCTCTTTGAAAAGGTACAGTTGAACAGATCGGGGGGGAATATTACTTGTCGGCTTTTGTAGAACTTTAAGAGAATTTATGTGGTTGGTGCAGAAAGCTGTTGTCAGAGATCAGAGGTTGCTGATTCTCTGGCAGATTTGTGTTTGAGAATTTATTTGTGTTGGGTGCCTTGAGATTTTCAGCACTATGTGGTGTTACTTGATTCTGGTGGCTCAGTCATGTTAAAGTGAGACACCCACCTGTGTTTGAGGAGCTTCAGAAGCAGTTCCCTAACGCTAGCCCCCCAGGAAAATCTGTTTTGGTCCAGTTGGTGTAGAGATGATCAACCTTGATGCAACATGGTGTTTTGTGCAAGATTTCCGTTAGTCACATCTTTCTCTCTCTTCCAGTTCAGTGTTTTCTTCCAGTGATGAATTTAGGTCCTACCTGTTGGTGAGGCAGTCTTCTACCAGGCCCTGCTCTCTGTCTGTAGCCATAGTTCTCAGCAAGGTTGCCCTGGCATTGCCTAATGAGCTTTAAACAAATGCTAATGCCAGGGTCCTGCCCAAGACCGATTAAATTAAATCTTGGGTCAGGGCCCAGGTATCTGTATTACAAAAAGAGAAAAATTAAACAAAAATTTTTTTTCAATACCTCCCCAACTGTTCCGGCAGTTATTCTGACGTTCGATAAGGAGCGAGGGTTGAGAACCCAGGGAGAGCCTGCCATGCAGCTGTACTGAGAGCTTCTGGCTTTGGGGTCGTGAGTGACCCTGAGGACAGAGCTCCTCAAGTCCTGCCGTGTACACAGGGCTTCCTTGTCAAACTGCAGATCCTGACTCAGGAAGCCTGAGCAGAGGCTGAGAGCCTGCACGTACTCATCCGAGGAGCTCCCAGGTGACACTGTTGCTGGCCCGTGTGCCACACTGAGGAGGTTGGGCCTAGACAGTATTTTCCATTAGACGTTTGCCCGCATGTGTGCAGAAAACAGAATCTATTTAAATGTTACCACATTTAAGACAAACAGAATATTCTTTCTATAAAGCAAAATGACCTCTAAATTTATCTTTGACATCCATGTGGATTTTCATATGTTAAGTTTGCTTTTATTGAGTATACTGGTACCTTCCTTGAGTAGACTATTGCTAAGAAACCTTACCTTGTTAGTTACAACAGCCTTTATAGTCAAAGGCAGGAGGCCTTTGATCAGATCTGTTTGAAAATACAACCTCTTTCGGCTCCCATCCTCAGTGGGCGGGAATACAGCATGTTGTTGTTCGCTTGACTCTGATAGCTGCATCGGCCTGGATTTGTATTTGGCATTGCAGAGGCCAAGGTATTGCTGGAGGCCACCTACCTCCAGAGTCCTGGAAACCATGGTAGTGCGGGCCGTTAAGGTAGCAGTAGCTCTGTGGGTGCTCTAGTTAGGTGCTGACGCTGATCTGTCTTCAGCATCCCGAGTTCCAGAACCTTGGCGTTAACCACATTCTTGGCTTGGGTAACAGCATCCCCCTTGCATTAAGCGAAGCCTACTGATTTTAATTTCTATAGCTCCTGACTGCCATCGTAGAATTCCAATTTTATTAAACACCTGTGTGCCAAATCCTCTGCTGGATTTTTCTCATTTCATCCTTGCAGCAATCCTGTCACGTAGGCGTCAGCATCCCCTCTGTAGCAGTGAGGAAACGGAAACACAGAGAGAATTGTTAGAACACTCCAAAATGGCACACGTGGGCTTTAAATCTGTGTCCCTCCAATTTCAAAATCAGCCTTCTTTCTCCTATACCGCAGTTCTGCCAAAGTTAATGAACTCTTTCACATTTAACAAAAAATCTACATTGTTTAGACTTTTTGTTAAATCTAGTTAACAAAAAAGGGGGTTAGTTAGGCCTTAGCAGCTTCTGTTGAGCTTCATCAGAGACACCAGTGGTTGATGCTGTATTGTAACTTTGTGGGAAAATGATTGGCTGTTCCTATTTTGTAGAAAATAATGGTTTAAATTTCAAAACTTCTTTGTTACCTGTAGTCAGAGGTGAGCTGTTAGGGTTGAGAAGCATGTAACTAGGTGTCTGGACCAGCCTGGGGAACGACTTGACTTCCTGGTTGGGGCTGGAGGCTGAATTAAGAAAGAACTTGAGCATCTGGAGCATTGATGTTGTGTTGCTTGTGTATTTTTTCATCTCTCTATTGAACTGGATGATCTGAATATATTTATATCCAAGAAACATCTGCAGCCCTTGATTAATAGTCATGAGGGTTTTTTCCTTAACTTTTTATAGATTAACAGGATGTTGCAAAGATAGTAGAGGGGTTCCGTGTACCCTTCATCTGGTTTTCCCCAGTGGTTACATCTTACCTAACTGCAGTACAGGATGATGAAACCAGGAAATGGGCATTGGTACCATCTGCTCATATAGCTCTGTGCCCCTTTATCACATTTGTGGATTGTGTAACCATTATTATCTCAGTGAAGATCCTGAACTATTTCATTACCACCTGAACTAATAGTTCAGTGAAGATCCTGAACTATTTCATGCTAACCCCAATCATAGTTGCATACGCTTCCAGCACTGCCCGTGATCCTGGCAACCACTGCTGCTGACAGAATCGTCTGACTAGGAGTGGAATATCGTGTGTACAGACCACATGGTCTCTCAGTTTGACGCTGAGGCTGCTGAGATCTGCAGGGGTCACTACTCAGTGCTAAAGGCAGGTTGTCGTTTCCGTGATCTACTTCCTGCACTTAGCCAAGCTCAGTGTTATTTTCTATTTTATGAGTCTTTAGAGAACTCCTTATAGAGATCAAATCAGTTGATATCTTTAAAGTTCACTCCAATTGATTAAATCATTACTTAGTAACTTCAGAGGTATGTTAAACTGTAAAGTGATACATAAGTACAAAGTGGTATCGTGACAGTTTTGTCATCTGTGGCGTGCTGGTATTGGAGAGCTCATGGTGTTGGCAGTATCTCAGGGTAAGCTCACTGTAGTAAGTTTGTGACCTCCTTTAAATTGCATGCAAAATATGTAGGGGCACACGGGCAGAGTTTTCATTGGATTTTCGAAGGTGTCCTTGGTCCAAAAAGAAGCATTAAAATCTAAGACTATGCATTTAAAAGTCTTCATTCAAAAAAAAAAAAAAAATCACTTAAAATGTAAAATTCCTTTGTTAGCATAGTAGGAATGAACTTTGTTTGTGTAGTGGAACAAACTATGCCAAGTGAAGAATGTGTTCTCTTAATTATTTTGAATATAATGTATGGAAATAAAAAGAAAATTACATCAAAATGAAACAGCAACAATCCAAGCTAAATGCAAGATTTCTAGGACATGTTTATGAAACTTAAATCATGCTTTCTGTCCTCTCTCTGACCTTTTTGTG